GGAGAAGAGAAGGGAGCTTAAGTAGTGGAAAGATGTGTGAGTTGCAAACGCACTCAAAGCACAGATGAGGAAGTGAAAGGTGAGTAAGAAGCACAGGACAATCGGTGGTAGAGGCTTCAAAGTGCAAAGAGTTGCCTCTTTGTCTTAAGAGACGGAGCCAAGCGGAGGCATAACCCTAATTCAGCTCGGATGCGGCAGTGGGAACCTGCCTTCGACGCTTAGTCTGGTACGCTCGCCTGCTAGCGCTTCAAGACAAACAGCTCAGCGTGACGAAGTGCCTTCGGGTGCAAATGCTTGTTTCAGTGGTCACACGTGCGCGTGTAGCATCACCTCATCGTATGTTGAGCGATCGGCCCCCGCGTCGTGCCGCTGTGACCGATTTGAGGCTATAACAGGCCTGCAGGGCGAGTTGACTCTGGGCGACTGCCTCTTTCGACAGAGGCCCGCTTCAGTTGAGCTTGCGGTAGTTGAATTTAGACTGAGCGTGCAACGCGGGAGACGAAGATACAGCTGACCGGTCGCGAGGCCCGCGTCGGGAGCAGATTGGAGGATGCCGCGTTGGAGCCCGTCGAAGGACGTCACGCTTGGCCGCCTGCCTGAAACATCTGGCCGTCATACCTTGCGCACTGCCTTGATCAGCGCATCTTGGAAGCTGTCCTCAGCAGCGACTGCGAGCGAAGGGGTTAGAGCAGCGAGAGTTTGCACCGTCCAATGCCACTTGGTAGAGTGTATGCGAGCGCGTCGTTCAACGGCCCGACCGTTGGTCTGCACGGGCACACCACATGTTGGAACTTGCTGTACACAATGGCCTGCTTGTGCGAAGGGCCCCAGCATGATTGTTTACTATGCATCCATGCTTCGGTACAGGCAGTCTGAAGTATCTCACTCGAGGCCTGTCGACTGATGACTTGAAAGTGTGGCAGATCGGAGGCATCGTCGCGAAAGGGAAGCGGTGTGAGGGCTTGTCTGCGTCCGAGCAAGAACTGTGACTTGAGGTGCAGTAAAGTCACGAGCCCAGCAGCGTGATGGTGATGCATGATGCATGATGCGCCGCCAACCAGCGACTCATGACTCATGACTCATCAGACTGTGACTAGCGTGCCCAACAGCTTACTCACGTGACTCTTCTGAGTGAATGATCGAGAATCTGTCTTCCGGCCGCGCCCCGCCTACCTGCCGCACCGGGCCGGCATTGTGTGCTTGGCCCGACCGAAGCCCGTCAACGCCGCTCGCACTTTGACTCTTGACTCGTGACTATATACAACTCCAGCTCATGTAGGTAGCGGCCGCGCAAGGTTTAGCAGCAACTCAAAATTGGCTAGCTGCTGGCTAGCAGGAAGAATCGTTGCACGTACGCACCGACGTTTTGATTGCTCGTTATGGCCATCTGAGCACTCTGACTCGGAGCTGATGATCCGTCCTCAATACACACATGCTACTGTATGATCATTGTAATTGTGTGTGGATAGGCGACTTAGCGGCTGTATTCGAGTCTTGACCATACCGAATATATAGGCTTCTGGGGCCAAGTCGAGCGACTATGAGGCCGTTGCAGCGGGTCTGATCCAGCTATGGCCCGACACTTACGACTACGATTGAACTCTATACAGGCGTGTGGGCACATATAGAGAAGGAGGTCTGCTCCGTGAGCAGCCCTCGCAAGGCACTCGCAATCAGACTAGTCTTGTGTCGTGACCGTAGATCAGTAGGGCTATCGGGAGAATAAGCACGAATGAGAATGTGAACGTCAATCCTGAATCATAATCAAGTCCTAATCAGATAGCTTCTTGGCATACAAGAGGCGTCACATTAAGCCTTTGCAGAATCACGCGTGTGGGCACACACTCACAACATTGTGCCGTACAGTAAATGAATGCTCTTCGCTGCTGCAGCAACGAAGAGTAAGACCTTGCCTGCACGGATTGACGTCTGCATTGGACTGCTTGCCTGCACCCTGCCGTGCAGCAAAGAGTCTTGAATAGCAGCAAGCAGAGAAGAGACTCGTGAGTCGTGACTATATACTGGTGACTATAGCCGCCATGCATGGTGGATGGATGCGTGGATGCGTGCACGGCACGCCTTTACACCGGCCGATATCCATATGCGCGATACGGAGCG